CTCTGTCTCTCAGAGTAGTAATAGACGGTCCTCCTGGTATTGGTAAGACCACACTCTGTCGTAAACTGTTAAATATGTGGTCTAGTGGACCACTTGTATACCAACAGTATGACTTGGTACTTTACTGTCCTTTAAGGAATAGCAAGATAGCTACAGCTACTACACTAGCTGACCTGTTTGTGCGTCAACGTTATGAAGTTCCCATGGTAGCTGAATGGTTTGAGAAGAGGAATGGAGAAGGATTACTGATAATGTTTGATGGTTGGGATGAACTAAGTGAACAACTCAGACAGTCTTCATTAGCTGCTAGTATCATTTGTAAAGAGAAGTTAGACCAATGTTCAGTAATTGTTACCTCTCGTAGCTATGCCTCCTCTTCACTTTTGAAAATGGATACTCTCAGTAGACATGTTCAGGTCATTGGGTTTTCTAAGGAAGAAATATCAACAGTAATTATACAAACACTTCAAAAAGATACAAAACTAGCACAAAAACTCATTGATGAAAACACAGGATGGAGGAGATACAAATCACATTCCACAACTACTCAAAGCAGTAAGGACTCACAACTAGCAGTGAAACTCATTAATGATCTTAAAGTACGAAATGATGTCCAATCATTGTGTTATGTACCACTAGTCTGTTCCATGGTCATCTTAGTTTATTGTAAGGAAGGAGGACACTTACCAACAACACTCACTCAACTCTATGAGAACTTTATTCTACAAACTATCAGAAGACATGTTAAAAGACATGGCATTAACCCACATACTTTAGGTAGTCTTTCTTCATTACCATCACAATTAGCTAAACCTTTACAAGAGATGTGTCAATTAGCTTATACTAACCTGGCTAATACAAGAATGACATTCTCTTCACATCAACTACAGTCACTGAGTGAGGCAGTCAAGGAAGACTATCCTGGATTTATGACAAGATTCACAGAGTATGATGAGGAGAAGTATCAGTTCCTTCACTTGAGTATACAGGAATTTCTAGCTGCATGGTGGATAGCTAAGCTTGAGAATACAGAGGAAGTGTTTAAGGATCACTTTGATGATGATCACTTTCGAATGTGTCTGAGGTTTGTAGCAGGTCTAACTCACCTTGAACATGAGAGCTATGAACAGTATTTTAATATACAACAACTTGACTTACAGTGTAAGAGGAAACCATTGTTTGGATTTGAGACTTGTCATCTCTCCTACTTCTATCAGAATCCTGAGATTAGAGCTGGTCGTATTGATTCTGATGATTCTGATGATTTTGACAATTTTACAATTCTTCTTCTTCAACTCCTGTATGAATCACAGAACACAACATTATGTCAAGTATTAGCACAATCCATCAACAACCACTCACTATGTCTGACGAGGAATGGAGTATCATTATCATTGTTTGACTGGTTGTGTCTCAGTTATTGTATAAACAATTCCAACACAACATTGCACCTGTGGACTGTATCTAAGGAACTTTTACCTAAAGACACCGTATTACTACAGGCCCAGTGTAAGGGACTAAAGGTAGAGTTGGATTTTCCCTTTGATGAATTAATACACGAATTATTACAATCATCACTTCTATACAATATTCAGGAGTGCTATTGTAAATTAGAATTTGGTCAATACGTTCCCTGTCTTGTATTGTTACAGTTCCTCAATCTTCCTCAATTGAAGATACTGCACTTAATAATGTTCCTTCCTACTATACCAACAGTTGACAATACATGCTACACAGACAAGTGCACTGAACTTCAGAAATGTATAGAAATGAATTCAACACTACAAGAAATGAACATTGAGTGTGAAGGAAGGAATGAAATAACATGTACCATTATCAGTGTCATTAGAGGAGTAACAAGAAATAAAACAATAACATCATTAACAATACATGCTACTTCGGGTGTTCCTCCTCCTCCTCCTCTACCTGATGGAGTAATAGAGCAGTTACTAAAGGACAACAACACATTACAAGCTCTTTCACTGAACATACCTGATGAACTCCTACCATCATCACTGAATATAGTAGAGGTGAACACACCACTGACTGCTCTAGAGATAAGAAGAGGATGGAGGAGTAGTAAACTGATGACAACATCACTCCTTCCACATATCAAAGGATTACACTGTCTGATACTACATGATCCATACCCACCACATCTTCTATTTCTCTCTCATCCCAGTCTACATACACTTACTTTACTACTAGATAGAGCTGAGAGTGCTATTGAATTATTTACTATTCTACAAACCAATACTAGACTTAAAGGTCTGAGTGTGGAGATAAAGGAAGAGAGAGTATATACCAGCAGTATGGGTACTAGTCTACAAGACATGCTAACACAAAACCAAACACTGAAATACCTTGAGATTAATAAGGACAGGTATAGGAACATTCCCATTCCCAGTTCATTCCAGTCCTTCCTAACAACTGGTCTCAGACACAACACCAGTCTACAGCAGTTGAGTGTATCCATTCCACTGAATGAAGAGATAAGAACTTTTATTAATGTCATTTCTCAAAAAGACAATCTCACAGAACTTAAAGTGAACTTCGAACCAGATCAGTCATATAGCTGGGAAGAGAAGAAACAAATAATGACGCCATTGTTTTATGAACAGGGACTACCTGCTGTTACTAACATGTTACAGTCACATACTACCATCAGACTACTGAGGATAGAGTGTTGGGATATTAATAAAGATTCATCTCAACCTACATGTAACTGGAGAAAACTAGTACAACATTTATATGAAACTATCTTAATCCATCCATCACTTGAATATATTAAGATCAAAGCTGAATACTTTACTCCTCTTCTCCTGGTGGATACTCTTAAAGATTATAAGAGGACAATCATTAAACCACACAAGCCACTACCAATAGTGATTTTTAGTTCGACTCAACACTTATGAAGTATTAATAATAGATACTTTGGTTATCATGCTTAATTATTTAGCTAATTAGAATTTGTTTGTTCACACCTTTTGAAATTGATACATGTAAGATTAATTAAGTTTGAGAATTATTCAATTTTATTTGAGAATTTAGTAAGTGGGCGTGTTTTGGGTTGGGAGGAATTTTTATAGTCCAATCGAGGGGTCCGCAACTCCAAATAATCCCATACACCCTTGGAAATAATCTATAATAATCAGTTGATCTTTAAAATCTCCAGGTTAACTAACATTAATTAATAAATATTAAAAGTTATAATGTAGTTAATTAATTAATAATCTCTAAAAAATTTCTGATAATCCCACTAAAAAAATTATTGGAAATCTCAAAAAAATTTTTGGCAATCTTTCAAATAATCTCAAATAATCTCTGATAATCTCAAAAAAATCTGGTTAATCTCTTAATCTCGTACACTTAAAATAGGAGTTGCGGACCCTTCGAGTCCTATGGTAGTTGTGGGATAATGTATAACTCATTAGTTATATTGTCTAATATTTATGCATTTTAATTGACTAATATTAATTAATAATGGGATGATTATAAATAGTGTGTGTTAATCACTTGTTCGGGACTGTAGTAGTATATTGATGATTTTGTGAGATCTCTTTTCTCTTGTATATTTATTCAATATTGATATTGCTAAATCTACGCTACGAGCCATTATAGTAGTCTCGCATAGCCAGCCCCTCCCTCCGTAGGCACGGAGGAAGGGGCTGGCTACGCAAGACGGTTACCATCAGCACTCTAACTCTCTGTGTTTTCATTCTACTATTGTGCTGTAGAGTTTATTAATAATAATAATTATTATTATTATAATTATCAGTCAGGATGCTACTATGAATCAGTGAGAGAGAATTAATTATAATTCATTCATTGGACAAAGTCAAATTTTGGAGCAACTTTAAAATTCATAAAAAATATAATTTTGATCAGAATCAGTTCAAACTTTCTACACAACATAAGAAATGTATATGCATCAGTAAATGTAATCAAAATGTAATAATAATATTTATTCATTAGATTTCTGTTCAACTTTTAATTCCTTCTAAAACAAGTGAACAGAAGAATACTAACAATATCCAAGACAGTGGTAAGTACTTACATTACAGTATGTTGAATTTCACTGAAGTTTACTGATTTCAGATCCTAACCCAGAACCCTCCAGTACAAGAGATTTGAAGAGAATGAGTCTGGGCCAGCCCGAGCTCCAGCCAGCTGGGCAGTAATCCTGGAGCCCCTCCTCCTCCAGTGGTATGACTGGTGTATATCCTCTCAGTTAGCAGCTGCATCAGACCATGCTACCCAGTCTTGTGGCTATTTCTTTGATGAAAGAACTGGCTACTACTATGATCACAATAAAGGACTCTACTATGATCAGGTAATGGAAAAAATTGTTTTCATCAGTTACCTGAAGATAAGAATAAAAGTTGCTTTCTCCAGCTTTATTTTATTGGCAGTGGCTATTTCAGCCCGTAATCCGACCGTGGGTGGCTATTTTTATGGCAGGATGAAACACTCTAAAATAAAAAAAACTAAACCCTAAACCAACCTTGGGGACTCCTAACATAACTAGAAGGCTCATAAAATGACTGGGGACGCTCTAAAAAAAAAACCGCCACCCTAACCCCTAAACCCTAAAAACAATAGCTAAGTAGGGGACTCCTAACATAACTAGGGCTCCTAACATAATTAGGGAACATAGCGAAGTAGAAAGATAAAAAAATCAATTTTTTAAAGTCAAAATTATAAAAAATAAAAGAAATGGTCTGAGCTGAATTCGAACCAGTGCTCGTCCGTATCCAACCCAGCGCCTTCCCCACTGTGCCACCACGACCCTGCTACCTTATTGATGCTGATTGTCATGTTTATACGTCACTTCATTTCTATATTCCCTGCCGTAAAAATAGCTGTATACAATGAGATTACGGGACCGTAAAAATAGCCACTACGTATTTTAAGAAAATGTTATAATAATGTTAGTATATCCCAAGTACAAGTACATCAATAATAAACAAATCAATAAAGACCATATCCTATTATTAATCATTATATGTACCAGTACTTGTGTATAATGAGCCCCTCCCTACAGTTCAGAAGGTTATATAATGATCCTGAAAACTCCACCTACTATTCTTATGAGTATGAGTCCAGACAGTACGTCATTCATTCTGAGGTGGAGCTCCCTGTCAAGGAGTATGATTCATCCGATGATGTCTGTGTCCTGAAGACACACAAACCTTTGACAATGGAGGAGAGACTGATAGAAGATGAGGTACCTACACAACTGGACCTCATGTTTGAAAATGGTCAGACCTCTCTCTCTCTCTCTCTCTCTCTCACCTTTTAATGGCATACATGTACATGTACATGTACATATGTATTTATTATTATTATTATATTGTTGTTTTTTGATTGGTTAATTCTATAATTAATGATCTAACTTGTTTTGTGTGTTACGTGGTATATAATAATTTATTAATTCTATTAGCTGATCCTTTTATCTGTCACTACATTAATTGGATTTTAATGACGTTTTATTGCCATACTTCCTCTTCTCTCTCCCTCCCCCTCCCTCTCCACCCCCTCTCCCTCCCTCACCCTTCCCTTCTCCCTTTCCCCTCCCCCTCCCCCTCAGATGATGATTCATTGCCTGACCGTCCTCCTCCAATGAGTGAGTGGCCTCCGTGTGTTCATCTCATACCACTTGACCCCGCCCCTTCTTTAAATGTGGGCGGAGCCTCGGAACTAGCTGGTTCTCAAGATGCTCGTAAATGCATCAGTTTAATTACAGCTGAAGGGGCCGTCATTGGAAGGTACATGTACATGTACAGTATAGCCTCTCTTAATGGACACTCTCTATAGCATACACCTCCATTTAACGGACAGCACCTAATGTACCAATTACATTCCTTACTGTATAAAATAGCCTGCACATAAAGGACACCTCTGTATAACAGAGACACTTTCAAAGTGTCCATTATATAGAAGCTACATCAGAATCTGCTCAAACTTTCTACATAGCATAAGGACATCAATATGTATCAGAAAATGTAATAAAAATTTGGGGTGATTTTGCAGCCATTTTTTGGGGAAAACGATGGACTATAGCCTTGGGTATTTTTCAAATTTTTTGCGTTTTCTTAAAATGGTCCTAACTCAAAAAATTGAAGTCAGAATCAGCTCAAATTTTCTACACAGCATAAGGCATCAATATGTATCAGAAAATGTAATAAAAATTTGGAGGGATTTTTGGAGCCATTTTTGGAAAAAACCAGGGTATAGCCTTGGGTATTTTTAAGATTTTTGGCTTTTTTTATAAAATGGCCATAACTTGAAAAATTGAAGTCAGAATCTGCTCAAATTTTTTACACAGCATAAGGACATCAATATGTATCAGGAAATGTAATAAAAGTTTGGGGTGATTTTGGAGCCATTTTTTGAAAATATAGCCTTGGGTATTTTTCTGATTTTTGGCATTTTCTTAAAATGGCCCTAACTCAAAAATTGAAGTCGGAATCTGCTTAAATTTTTTACACAGCATAAGGACATTAATATGTATCAGAAAATGTAATAAAAATTTGGAGTGATTTTGGAGCCCATTTTTGAAAAAACCATGGGCTATAGTATAGCCTTGGGTATTTTTCAGATTTTTGGTGTTTTCTTAAAATGGCCCTAACTCAAGAAATTTAAGTCAGAATCAGCTCAAATTTTCAACACAGCATAAGAGCATCAATATGTATCAGAAAATGTAATAAAATTTGGTGTGATTTCGGAGCCATTTTTCATGGACTATTATAGCCTTGGGTATTTTTCAGATTTTTGGCATTTTCTTAAAATGGTCGTAAATCCAAAAATTGAAGTCAGAATCTGCTCAAATTTTCTACACAGCATAAAGACATCAATATATATCAAAAAATGTAATAAAAATTAATAATAATAATACATGTACAGTATAGTCTCTCTTAATGGACACTCTCTATAGCGCACACCTCCATTTAATGGACAGCACCTAGTGTACCAATTACATTCCTTACTGTATAAAATAACCTTTTTGGATATTCTACACTATTCAGTATGTTCTTCATTTTTGAAAAGATTCACAGACCTTTTTATCTTTTTTTTGATGTCTACCGCGTTTCCTTGGCGATACATGTACATGTAAACATACATGTTTATTGTTTATTGATTACTAGTTGATATACAAAATGATAAACACTCATTTTTGTGTGATTGCCTTGTACCTGCACACCTGTACACCTCTCTCTCCCTCCCTCTCTCCCCCCCCCTCTCTTTCTCTCCCTCTCTCTCTCCCTCTCCCTCTAGAGAGGTGACTGTTCCTCAGTTATTGATATTATAAAGTTAGTAAGCTCCATTGTGAGATTTCCTTTCAGAAAAGACAAGAAGTTTTTGTTGTTAAAGACTGCGGCAGTCAAAATGGCACCTACATGTACATCAATGACAGCAGACTCAGTCAGGTAACCATTGGACACTATATGCAACCTGTCCTTAACACAGAGGTGTCCTCATTTCAGAAGTACTTTTGTATAGGCTTGTACCAATTGGGACATTATAAAGGTGTCCTCCTTATATCCTATATTAATTGTTGTGATCCATTGCTGCTGCCTAAGTCAATCAATTTGATTTGTCTCATTGTTTAATTAAAGTTAATTCATTTATTTTGTCTAAATGAACTCACTAACAGTTTTACCTTTACACACACACACACACATTACCAGCTGGTCCTAACATTATTGACTTAATTTTCCCTCCCTCTCCCTCTCTCTCTCATTGTTTGATATGACTCCTGGAGTCTCATACACACTGTATTATCTTGTGATATGTCTACATGTACATCGCATGTATTGCTATGTACAACCAAAGCATAGACCATCATCAGATATAAATCAGGTTTAACAAACTGTGAATACACTACACTCCTTAAATTAATAATAATGTACATGTACATGTATGTACGTGCCTATACTCTGCACGTGTTTGCTAGTTTGAACTTTAATTTTGATGACATATTCCCTGCCAATCCTCCTCCACTATTATTCCTACTCCTCATACAGCGGTAGCAGTGGCAGGATTGTCTAGACTGGAGGTATTTGTACCCTAAGGCGTGTCTCCAGCGTGTGTCCTCTTTGCCAGAGGGAGAGAGGGAGAGATGTGTTTGTAGTATGTTGGAGCCTTTGAGTGGCAGTCTTCATAAAGTGGAGCAGCTGCCATTAGCTGTACCTGTGGTCTTGTCCATTAATTAGACCCAAGGCCTTACGTATACATGTACTTCTCTGGTCAATAACAACTCATAACATCATAAAGATATGACTACAATATAGTACTTGTAGTGTATGTAATATAGGAAATATGTCATTTTTAATGTTAGTACATTATAAATGTATTAATAAAGTATAGTAATTGTAATTATAGCAGCTGCTACATAGAGATAGTTCTGGATTGGTCTCATATTACAAGAGAATGATCTAGAAGCAATATGTAATGTGGACAATATAACTTGAGGTGTACACTATTTAAAAGTGATCTTAAGATGAAGTGGTCACCTCACTCTGTGTTTAAAGTTTAATGGCCGCTTCCTGTGGAGTGATTGATACATTAGCAGCTGTTGATTCTTTTTCTTAATTTGTCTGTGTCTTTCACATCTCCACAGACCTGTCTGAGAGTGTCTGTATTTCTTCCCCCTCTCCCTCTCTCTTCCTCTCTCTCTCTGTTTATCTCTTCAGCTGTTTTGTATATGTATTTATTGTTGTAACCGATCCTAACCTTACATGTTCAAATGTATCAGTACATATTCTTTGATATAATTACAGTCAGTATAGCCTCTCTTAATGGACACTCTCTTTATAGTGTACACCTCCATTTAATAGACAGCACCTTGTGTAAGTACCCAGGGTTTCCCACAAAGCATGCTAAGTGAGCTAAACAGCATGAGCTTCATGAGTGGACAAGCACTACAATACAGTACGAGGCATTTGGAACAGCTTTAAATATTCATAAAAAATCTAAACTTAATCGGAATCAGCTCAAACTTTCTACACAACATAAGAACATGTATGTGTATCAGGAAATATAATAAAAATAAAGAATACTCTCCTTTTCATTTTTGGCAAAATTTGACTGAAGACCCAAGGCTACGGTAGTCTCGCTAGCCAGACCATTCCCCAGCCTACAGTCATTGGGGTGGACGGCGGGGAAGGGTCTGGTACACTCTTTAATGTAGTCTTGTTCTCCCGTCCAAAAGTGGACGTGACCAATCAGATTCAGTTATCCATGACATGTGACCACAAGTCACATTAAATATTAAAAATATTAATTATCAAAATGGCGACTTTTCAAGAGTTGTGGAGAGAATGCTGAAAAGCAAGCTATAGAGCTATAGAGTGGTAGCATCCAGCGTCTTATTGATTCTGGAGAGGCATCTTAGTGAAAGGTATCCGGGTAATATGCTACAAGTTTGTCTGGATGCCATGAAACGTGCATTTCGGTTCAATTTTATTGTTGTTTCATATAAACAGTATTTTTGTTGTTGAATTGCACTTTTCCCTTCTTCCTTCTCTTTTTACTGGTTTCATTGTATTTTATAATCATTATAAGACATTTTCAATAAATAAAATACGAATAAAATAGAATTATATGACAAATTTGCAATACATTGACTGTATTTCCACACTCCTTGCTATGAATGTCACATCACTTGAAGCAATGAACAATCGTTGACCTTTGGAAATCATAGATGAGCATGTTATACCTGTATCAGGACTTACATTGTTGATGCTCTCCAACACGTTGCATTTACTACTTTCTAGCTGATCCTTTAGGTACCAAAGTATGGCAAAGGAATCTATGCTTCAATACTTTCTTTCTTTCCCTTCCAGCCTCCAGAATGCATTTTGTAAGTCATTTGGGCTTGTTTAATTTGGTTAAAAGTCGTTTCTGCATTACACACGTGAAAACACGTGTGATGGGCGGGGTCTTTTGCACATGACATTTTCATTACGTCACTACCCACGTGGTTGCTGTCAGAACAAGACTACATTAAAGAGTGTACCAGACCCTTCCCCGCCGTCCACCCCAATGACTGTAGACTGGGGAATGGTCTGGCTAGCGAGACTAAGGCTACGGTATAGCAAGGCTGCAAAAGTCGTGGCAGCCATTTTGAAGTGGGGTGAATCCTACTTAGTAACGCTACCGCGTTACTAATAGCCCATGGTTTTTTCCAAAAAATGGCTCCGAAATCACCCCAACTTTTTATAACATTTTCTGATGCATATTGATGTCCTTATGCTGTGTAGAAAGTTTTAGCCGATTCTGACTTCAATTTTTTAAGTTATGGCCATTTTAAGAAAACGCCAAAATTCTGAAAAAGAGCAAAGGCTATAATAGCCCATGGTTTTTGGCCTAATTTTTGAATAACTTTTGAAATTCATTAAAAATCCAAATTTGATTGGAATCAGCTCAAAGTTGATACACAACATAGGACCGTGTATAATGTATTAGAAAATGTAATAAAAATTGAGAATTCTCTCCTTTTCATTTTTGCCAAATTTTGGATGGTGACCTTGTGCTATTATATAGTAACGCGGTAGCATTACTAAGTGGGATTCACCCCAAAAAATGGCTGCCACTACTTTTTCAGCCTTGCTATACCGGGAAAATGAGCTCCTATGCTTACCAGACTTCTTAAAATAGCTGTAATTCAAAAAAGTGAAGTCGGACTCTGCTCAAATTTTTTTACCCAGCATAAGGACATCAATATGTATCAGAAAATGTAATAAAAATTTGGGGTTATTTTGGAGCCATTTTTTGGAAAAAACCATTGGCTATAGCCCTGGGTATTTTTCAGATTTTTGGCGTTTTCTTAAAATAGCTGTAACTTGAAAAATTGAAGTCACAATTGGCTCAAACTTTCTACGCAGCATAAGGACATCAATATGTATCAGAAAATGTAATAAAAAATTGGGGTGATTTTGGAGCCTCTTTTGGAAAAAACCTTGGGCTATAGCCTTTTTTAAAATAAATAAAATTTTCTTTGAAATAATAAGAGAGACACAGAGATAGATATACAGTCAAATCATAGTAATAAATTTATAATAATTAAATAAATAAATAATTTGATATTTTTCAGATTTTTAGCATTTTTTTAAATGGCTATAACTTCAAGACATAAAGTTGGAATCAGCTCAAACTTTCTACAGAGCAATAGGACATCAATATGTATGAGAAAATGTAATAAAAATTGGAGGTCATTTTTTAGCCATTTTTCGGAAAAATCCTTAGGCTATATTCTTGGGAAATTTTCAAATTTTGGTGTTTTTTTTTAATAGCTGTAACTTGAAAAATTAAAGTCGGAATCACCTCAAACTTTGTACACAGCATGACATGTAATAAAAATTGGGAATTATTTTATAGCCATTTTTTGGGAAATGTGTATTTTTAATATGCCTTGGGTTTGCCTTGGCATATGCCTTGGGTATTTTTCAGAATTTTGGCATTTTCTTAAAATAGCTGTAACTTGAAAAATTGAAGTCTGAATCACCTCAAACATGCACATGTAGAATAGCAAAAATTAATAATACAATTGGTTTATTTTTTTTGTACATGCAGTGCAGTGGAAGAATCTTATACTGAAACATGGCGGACATGTTACTGATGGATTTGACATGAGCTCATTAGCTAAAGTTCAGACAGATACACTCCAGGACACATGATCACTGCAATAACACAAGTACTCACAGAAAGAGGAATCTAACAAGTAATAATAATAATAATAATAAGTAAAACATTAAGGGGCAAGCAAAACGATTAACATTTCGATTAGCAATATACAATGTCTAATTGTCTATATAGACAATGATGTAGTGGCTATTAAATGTTGAATGTTGATGTCAATACACTAATGCAGAATTTGCATGGAAGGAATTTCATAGCTTCTAGCTTTGAGTGAAGAATCTCTGAAGTTATATACATGTAGATCTAGGATGGAAGATAGTTAGTCTCAGAAGCCAGAAGGAGGCTCCATTTGTTGTCTTTGGGTGCGACAAGACCTATCTCTAGCATTTCTATTGGACCTCTTCTCCTTGCTCTTTTCTCCTCCTCAGTCTTGCTCCTTCTCACGCTCGTTACAAAGAAGTCAATGAGCTTCACCAGCACCTTCTTGTGAATACTCATGCTCTAAGCTTCAGCTTCTCTTGTTTTTTAAATACTCTTGAACTCCTCTCATCCAGTGATTACTGAAGTTGCCCTTTGTTTTTGCACGTGGTACCGTAATTATCAAAATAACATTTTAAAATGTGTGATTATTATTTTTTATAGACGCATAAATAGGGGTGACATACGTGTACAAACAAACAGACAGACATACTCGACTCGATTATGTGGGGCTCGCTTTTGCTCGCCCTAATAATAATAATAATAATAATAACAATAATAATAATAATAATTTTTAATTTTAATATAAATTTTTTCTTGCTCTTTTTAGCTTCGTAAGTGTCCATTAACCATAGCAAAATTCATTCCTTTTTTTGCTAAAATTGATCCGATTTATAGAGAAGTAGAACAAGCATACAAAGTAAACCTATTATTAGAACTTTTTAGGAACCTTGTTTGTTACTAAAAATAGTATATATATTAGTGTATAAGTTAGCTAAAAATAGCATCTGCATGTAGTACATGTACTATAGGCATAACTTTAATCTTCAGTGTTAATGCAAATTAATACTGAGAACTTTGTTACTAAAAATAATCTACAAATGTATATGTACATACATGTACATGTACATGTGTAATTATAGTATAAATAGAACTAATTTTTATTTTATACCTTTTTTGTTAATGTAGGCTTGGTTTAATAAGACTTCTCTTGGAAAGAAGAGTGCTAAAGCTATCAAAGAAGCAATGAATTCATTAGTCATGATAGGCAGGATAATATTTGGCACTCACTGCTCTCTTATATTATATACATTTGGAATTAAAGACAAAGATAATTATAACAATACAGTTAATAATAAGTATATGTGTATTTTGTGTTTATTTATTCTTTTCCTTTCCCTTCCCTTTCTTCCCTCCTCCATCATCCTCTCCCATTGCTTCTTTGATAGCTTTTTTAATGAATCCCTGCTCTGTGTGGGCTGGTATCAATGAATCTAATTAACTGATTACAAGATGTCTTTAGTGTACAAGTGTTGGGCTGCGTTTAAGAATAGAGATCATAAAGAAGCTGTTCGCTTACTACCATTAATGGAGAAACAGAATAAACTTGAAAGAGAAGGGGGTCGTCTACTTCATTTGTCTTCACACATTGGCTGGTTAGATGTTACAAAAGATCTCATCACTAAATATCACTGTGACCCACACGAAAAACTTTGAAGTGATTGGGATTGGACTTGTCTTCATTGGGCTGCAGCAGGTAATCATGTTGATGTGATGAGATATCTCATTGATGAGTGTCACTGTGATCCAATGGCTGTTGATGGGTGGGGGGTGACACCTCTTCACTGGGCTGCTGGTTGTGGTAGATCTAATTCTGCAGCTGTTGAATATTTACTATCAACTGGTAAATGTGATCCATTGGCTAAAGACAATGGTGGGAACACACCATTTAAACTAGCTAAGAAGAGAGGTCATACTGATATTCTTTCTATCTTTAAGAAGTTTGGTGCCAAAATCATCTCTTCCCGCAATTGATTCTTATGTTAGTGCCCTCCTTGTGGGTAATCCTGGAGCTGGTAAAAGTACTCTTAGTCACGTCATCAAGGACACAGTTGCTGGCTCTATTGTTCTTGGTTCCTTTAGAAATGTTAGAGGGGTAGTGCCCTGTACTGCTGGCATCATTCCTTATAAACTACAACACAGGACACTGGGTAACATCATTCTTCATGATTTTGCTGGTCATTCGGAATACTACTCCAGTCACAGTGCTGTCATTGAGAATCTGTTACAAGGTTCTGGTGGTGTGTTCCTGATAGTAGTGAATATATTAGAGAAGGAAGCAGTGAAACATCTTCATCAGTGGCTAACAGTTGTGAGAAATGAAGCACAGAAAGCTCTTAATCAATGCCATGTTATTGTAATAGTCAGTCATGTGGATGAGATATTCACTAATCCTTTTGAAAGGAGAAGGAGAATAGAAGAAATACAGGAGATTATTGGAAGGGAAAGTTGTGATAGTGTATTCTTAGATTGTCGTAAGCTTGGTGGGAGTGGTATGGATTCCTTCTTTAATAAGTTGTCTAGTGCCTGTGAGTCCATTCGTAGTACAAGTGGAAGGAATTTGAGTCTTTATTGTCACATGATGTATGGTCTACTGGAGGAAAGGAAAGAGAATATACTGACCCTCTCTGATATAATGTCTGCTGGTGAGGACAGTGATGACTACTTTATACCAGATAAGAGAGAAGACGTCTTGGATGTTCTTCATTTATTGCACTCAATTGGTTTGATGAGTGTTCTTAAAAGTGAGGACAAGGTATGGGTTGTTATGAATAAGGGTATACTAATAACTGAGGTGAATAGGATTCTCTTTGCTCCAGAGACATTCAAAGAACACGTTGACATTGCTAGCAATACTGGTATTGTTAGAGTGTCTGGTCTGACTAGACTCTTCCCTAAATATGATCCTGACATGTTGATTCGTTTTCTAAAGAACATGGAACTTTGTGAAGA